TGATCCAAATCACATTCAAATGCCTTCAAATTTTATATTTCACTTGGAAATCATCTTAAGTTTTGACATAAAATTCATGAATCACATAAACTCAAATGAATCAAATGGTACCTTTTTTTCATGAACCCACGTATGAACATGATAAACTTTAAGAACAAGAAACTTTTCAAATTCACTTGTAGCCACCCAAATCACTTAAAATCAACTTCAATTGATATATTTCAACATAGAGAACAAATACCAATCAATTTCAAATATCAATATGCATCTAGATCCAATAAATGAAAGATTTAACTCAAGAACATAAAGAACACCATATTTTTCTTTTTGGATTTTCATTTTTTTTGTTTGTGATTTTCAAATAAAATAAAATACTTAGCTAGTGTATGTAGAAACAAACATCAATCCAAGCTCTGATACCAAATGATACGAATCTAAATACGGATAACAAAAAATTAAAGATAAAGTATAGAATTTGAGAATAGACCCAACAAAGTAGTAATTAAAAAATAAGTGATAAAGATCAATCACCCAACAATTACATAACAAAGTAAACTTAAACTATATGAATACCTTCAAATGAAAGTGTGATTCCACTTGAAGAACACACCTTGAATAAAGTTGTCATCAACAATGGCAAACCACCATAACACATTTCAAAAGAATATTCATCATTTATCAAAATTAGTCTCTTCAAAATTAAAGTCTTAAGGGCTATTTATACTAGAGTGGGTATTTGACTACAAAATACCCAAATACCCTTAAGCTGATTCTAAGGAACTAAGTGTAGTAACTTATTACAAGTATAGCCTCCAATTACAAGTAATCTTCAATTGATGAAAAATTACACATAGCCTCCATTTGCAAAAGTAGCCATCAATTGACATCCAAAGTGCATGTTGGCTATCTTGGGTCGTATCAGTGACCATGTGTTCCATGAAAATCACAGCACAGATTGGGATCCCTTTGGTTAGGATCTGAACGAACTGGTTCGGGGAACCTAGCTTCCTTTATGTTCCTCAAAATCGACGTCAGTTCTACCAAGCTGATGTTAAAGTTGTAGTCGGATAATCGGGGATACGTTGAATCTCGGGACCCAGACGCTTCTTTTTCTTACAATGTTTTGCTAAGCAAAGCTATCTGATGACTGAAACATTTATTTCCTCGCTCATCGACCTTTTTGTAAGGCTGAAAATGACCTCTGATCTGCATCAACATCAGCTTTGAATCTTTCCTGATTCCAATCTCGATTGCACCCTTTTGGAAGACACCGAGAAACCTAGTTGATCATCTTTATTCTAATCTTTGACTCGTAGCGATTGTGGATATTTTTCCATGTGGTTGCCTGAAATTCTAGCAAGCTTTTCTTCAGCTTACTGAAGGCATCGGAGCTCAACGAGTTGAGATCATTTGTAAATTCTTCCGTTGCCCACTCATCCAGTACTGCCGTAAATAACATCCTTTCCTTCTGAAGTCGGATTACGAACTCTCGCAATAGTTCGGATTCTCCTTGTGCTATTCTGAATATATCCGCCTTTCTTGCTTGAACCTTTCTTGCTCCAACATGAGCTGTAATAAAAAAATTTGCAAGCATTTCAAAAGAATCAAGGGAGTGCTTAGGTAAAAGAGAATACCAAGTTTAAGCACCCTTCATTAGGGTTTCTCTAAATTTCTTCAACAAGACTAATTCGATCTCGTGTTGGGCCAAATCATTTTCCTTTATAGCCGTAGTGTAGGTCCTGATATGTTCCTATTGATTCCAAGTTCCATCATACTTTGGAATATCTAGTATTTTAAACCTTTTCGGAATCAATTCTGGGGCCGCACTTGGCTTGAACGGAAACTGCGTGTACTTTTTGGAATCCGGTCCCTTTAAAACCGATGGTGCTCCGGGGATCTGATCCATCCGAGCATGGAATTCCTTAACATTTTAGTCCATACGCTCATTTATTTCCCTCATGAATATCATGAGTTTGGTTTTGAAAGGGCCGTATGTGTTGTTATCGTTCCCAGATCCACTACTGGTACCTCCTACCTCGTTAAAATCGAACTCCTTCCTTGGAGCGTCGTTACCGGTTCTTGTTTGATTTACAGGGGTGCTGGGAGGAATCTGAGATCCTTCCTTAGAATTATTGGAAGCAACCGATAGTGCCTACTTCAATTCTGTCATCGCCTGGTCTTGTCTTGAAAGGTGATCCATAATTCCCCTTTGTTGCTCTCTCAAGATTTTGACTGTTACAATAACGTATTCGTCATCCGCATCATCAGGAGTTAGACTCCTCACATGCCGAGGATTTTGACCTTTGCAGACTGGAGTTGTTTCATCTCCTTCATTGCGGATTTCTCTAGTTGAATCATCACGTTGGAACACATCCTCACATTCATTGTGGGCTCCAACATTATAAGAATTGTTGACATCGTTAGTTGCTATATCTGATTTTTCTTTTGCTAAAAAGGAATCAAAATTTGTTAGTAACAGATGAATGGATCAAAGCAATTACACAATTGTCTATGCCCCATGATGGGTGCCAAACTGTTTACCCGTAAAGCAGTACAGTTGAATTTGTAACGTGATTTATAGACACATGAATTAGTTTGATCCAAAATATGAAATAAATAGGAACTAAAATGAGATTATAAAATAATTTTAAAAGAAATACAAGCCCAACTAAGTGTTTAGCTTCTCCGATAGTAGTAGCAAAAGCAAAGTTAAGAATAAAATAAAGAGAGCAACTATAGAATGAGAGCAGTTTATAGCTTTTTAGTACATATAATGGATGCTAATTCTCCTATTTATAGCTTTATATAAGGAGACAAGATCCCCAAATCAAGCTCCCCTTGAATGAGAATAAAATCGTAATTGATGGCTGCATAACGGTTGATCATAAATACAGAGATTCTTTGTAACGACTGCTCATTAAATGCTGTATTTTCCGATCGATGTCTTACTTCCACATCTTTGTTCTCGCATTCGATGCCTTCGGGACTCGCTCGGCAACGGTCATATGCTTGCATCCGATGCCCGCTATTTGCTGACTCACATTTTATTTGTTTTTAGTTCCACGTGAAATCTCGTCATTTGTCTGACTGTCGCTAACCAATTACCCCATACAATTCCAATCGCATGGTAAAACAAAAAATATAAAAATCCTTAATTTATTTATATCCCTATGTCGTGAGCATACAGAATAAAACTCATTAACAATCAAATTCTTTACCATTTGGCCAGTTGCCGTCGGCAATAATATTTAAGGTAACATATTCAACAACCATCATCTGTATCCAGTTATCAAACTAAAACATCTCCTCCTTGACCACTTTTTTTGCGAATATTGATATCACTACAAAACTTCAAAAACCAGATTATAGAAAAGAAAAACAAGAATTAATGTGCTAGGACGGCATTTAATTAGTTATTCAAAAAAGATTAATGGCTACGGCATACTCACCAAATCATGGATTATTCATATGTATCAAGTCCCTATATAAGAAGGTGACATTGGAAGCACAGCTGATTCATCCCATCAAACACACTTAATTTTAGACTTGTTCAACTCCAAATTCAAGCTTCGTTTTATTCTTAAGTTTTTGAGTTTGAAATGGCCAAATTATTCTCTTTTCTTAGCTTGTTAACTCTGAGTTTCTGCTGCCTTGTCACTGCTTTCGAGCCTAGTCCATTGCAAGATTTCTGCGTCGCAGATTCTGGTAGCTCAGGTATTCAAGAATTTGTAATATATACTATATGTTTAGTAGTATACATTAATGAATGACGAGCAGGAAGCATGTTTTTATAAGAGGTTAAGTTATATATATTGACAGTATAATTTTTTTTAACACTATCAATATGATTTGACCATACATATAGCAGGTTATTACTCTATTTTTCAAGTTACCTGTTGTTGTAGATTTAACCTGGTAAAGTGATAGTACAAAAATTATTTACTTCACATAAACTTTTTGCTAATCATACTTTTGTAATTGCAGTGAATATAAATGGCATGGTTTGCAAGAATTCTTCACTTGTAGAAGCTAATGATTTTTACTTCAGCGGGCTGCATTTGGCTGGCAACACAACAAATGCTGTTGGCTCTAAAGTCACTCCTGTCAATGTAGCTCAAGTACCAGGACTGAACACTCTTGGTATTTCATTGGTTCGCGTCGACTATGCACCATGGGGAATTAATCCTCCTCACACTCATCCTAGAGCTACTGAGATACTCACTGTCCTTGAAGGTTCTCTTCAAGTTGGTTTTGTAACCTCAAACCCCGAAAATCGCCTTATTACTAAGGTACTTAAAAAAGGTGATGTGTTTGTATTTCCTATTGGACTTGTTCACTACCAACGCAACGTTGGAAAGGGAAATGCAGTTGCAATTGCAGCATTGAGTAGCCAGAATCCTGGTGTTATAAGCATTGCTAATGCAGTTTTCGGATCGGATCCAGCTATTGCAACTGATCTTCTTGCTAAGGCTTTTCAAGTTGATAACACCGTTGTTGCTCAGATCCAACCAAAGTTCTAGAGCAGCATGAATATGGAAGCTTCAGATTTGTTATTTGTCATTTGTGTTCATTCTGTTTGTTCAATTGTTTGTTTGATTGAGTGTGGATTGTAATTTTAGTTTTTTCCTAGCAATTGTACTATTGTAAGATCAAGCATTTGCTTTGATTCTATTTATTTTTCAGCATTTTGCTTACTCTTTCTTATAATCTATAATTAGTTGATACTTAGTTGGCCACTGGGTGCAGCCAAAGAGGGGTTGTCACCTAAACTAATCAAGAAATTATGTGTACTAAAAGGGAGCTTCATAAATTACCAAAAAAGCTTTTACCTGACTAATCAAGTAAATTCAAGAAGCATGATCTTACAACTCCTCTATTTAAAGATTAACCTCTGAATAAACCACATCTCATCATTCAAAAGTCAAAACCTTTCTTTTTTTCTAATTTCCTCCCTCTTATTATTCTTCCAAACTTGTATTTTTTGCAGCATTTTTGAAAAAATGGCCAAACGCATCATATTTATGAGCTTGATTCTCACCTTATTCTGTTCTGGCTTGGCATTAGAGATTAGCCCTTTGCAAGACTTTTGTGTCGCTGATACTAGTAGCGCAGGTACAAACTGGAGTTTCAACATATGTAACTCTACATTTTGAAGGTTTACGAAGTTATTTTATTACTTATATATATTGACAGCGTATTTTAACCGGCTAATAAATTGCATTGTCAGCGCACAAAAGTTAAACTCTTTAGAAAAAAGATGCATGCTTTTACTCAAGAACTTTGCGTGTAACTTATATAAAGGTACTTTGGTGAATATAGATTCTAAAGTCAATAGGTTCAGAATAAGTAATCGGCTGATATAATTATATGTATACATGGTAATTTTTTAATTTTTTTTTTGTATATAAAAATATATTTTCGAACTAAAGATAATGTGTTCTTTGAACAAACAGAACTCGTCCTAGATTCGCCTCTGACTATTTATATCCCTGCTTAATTATCAGTTAGGTTAAATGGTCTGACATGCAAGAATCCTGTGCTAGTAGAAGCCAATGATTTCTATTATGGTGGTTTGAATCTACCTGGCAACAAAACCACTCAATCTGGTACTAGGGTCACTTCAGTCAACGTAGCTCAAATTCCTGGACTGAATACTCTTGGCATCTCAATGGCTCGAATCGACTATATACCTGGTGGAGTTAACCCTCCACATATTCATCCTAGAGCCACTGAAATTCTAGTTGTCCTTGAAGGTTCATTACATGTTGGATTTGTCACCTCCAACCCTGAGAATCGATTAATCTCAACAGTAATACATATGGGGGATGTGTTTGTTTTTCCAGTGGGACTTGTTCACTTCCAGAGAAATGTGGGATATGGAAATGCTATTGCACTTCTTGCATTGAGCAGCCAGAATCCAGGTTTGATAAGCATTGAAAATGCTGAGCAAATCCTACCAGAGCAAGTGAAGTTCATACCAAGGCATTCTAAGTAGATGAAGATTTTGTTAACAAGATTCAATCATTGATTAGTATAATAAAGGGATAATACATAATGATCCGCCGACGTCTCTCTTTACCATTTGCACCCTTACACTTCGCAGAGTTGCGGAGTCCTATGACCCGCTTAAATTTGTTAGAAGTGTAATAAATAACATCTTCATCTTCTGTGTATTGCCTTTTTTAAACTTCATAATTTCCTTTTTATTGCTATTTATTTTATTTTACTTTATTTTAGCTTTTCTTATTCTTTTTCCTTCTCTTCCTTTTACTTTCTACTTTTCCTCTTTCTTATTCTTTTCTTCATTTTCTCTTTCTTCTCGATGTCCCATCTCATTTTCCTGCGCCATTTTCTTTATTCTTCTTTTTTTCATTGTAGATAGATAGCTTTGACATTAAACGGAATTAAGGAGAAAAAAGAGTCTAAATAGGTTATAGATTGAGGAAAATTTTTAGTTGGTCAGAAAGCTTGGTATAGTCGGCACCATTTTTTCCGACAAGGAGGGTTTGTGCTCCTCCTCCCTTCGATCTGGGTACGCGCGGGTTAGTTTTTATCACTTTATTCCTCCTACTTTTCCATTGGAAGAGAAAACAAAATGTGAGACACAAATGAAAGCCACTGGTTAATTTGTCTAGTCGGAAAATTTTCCGGTCAAATCATTTGTCTTCTTTTCGATTTTATTTCTGTTTCTGAAGAGGGGTATTTTGGCAAATAGATGGAAGAGGGATGGAAAAGTTTTAATTGGAGAATTATGGAGATAAGATAAAGGTCAAACCAGCAATCGATCTGTTAGTCAAAGCTCGCCCGAAAATTGATTTTCTTTTGTGATCCTTTGTTTTCTTTTCTTCTTAAACCCAGAATACTTGAGTTTGAAAATTAAAAATCAATTGATGGGTTGCAATTGAAAGTTAATTGGTATTGAAGGTTTGGCTAATGGGGAGTTGAGGTGAGGCACTGACAGGAAGAAAGGAGAATATCAAAAAAGGAGAAGAAAAGAAATAAGAAAAGAAGGGATAGAATAAAAGAATAAAAAAAGAAGAAAGAGAAAAATGAAAAATGAAAAAAATATGATACTTTAACGCTTTCATGCGGTCAGTCCAGAAATGTGCCACATCAGCTCAAAAGGTGATATTAATTACAGTTTGAACAAATATAAGGGGGTCATATGACCCCGTAAAGTGTAAGGGTGCATATGATAAATGAAGACAATCCCAGGGCTAATTATATATTATTCCTATAATAAACTACTAGTGTTATCAATGTGTTACAAGTAATAAAAATTGTTGCTGGTATTATCATTTGAAGAATTTAAAAGATCGCATGATAATTAATATATCAATTTCTTTGCAGCAAGATTTGTTTAATTTTGTGCTCTTCTTCTTTATAACATGATCATAAGAACTGGTCCAGCAGCCGGCTAATCCACATTAAATACTTCAGATTTTAAATCTCTCTAGTCTAAGTTTGTGCTTGTGCTAGAGACCATAGATTTTTTTATCAATGATGTGCATATCTTCACAGAATTACTATCTAAACTAAAGAAAGAATTACTCCCTCTATCCTACATTAAATACTTTTTGGTCATTTTTATCTTGTTTCAAATGAGTTTCCTAAGCTGCCTTGCATGTTGCTTATGAACATGAAAAAAATCCTCTAATGTATTAATACTGGCATTCTTATTTATGGTCATTCAGTTTTGAATCAGCAATTGCACAAAAATCTCTTTAATATTTTCTTATTGGAATTATTACTCTCTCAAGGAGTTTAAGGTTATGTAGACAGTATAAAGATCAGGTTCTGTTAAAAATTAATTTCAAGTAAATATCCATAACAAGTGTCAATGATTAGCAAAAAAGATATCCCAATGCACCAAGCTCTTGTTATGCAAGGGTTCCGGAGAAAGGGCGGGACCACCTTGAATCTTAGTGCATTGGGTTCCGGGGTACAATAAGCTCATTTCTGTAAAAGAGTGTTTTCTCACCTTGAACTAGTGACCTCTCGGTCACATGAAGGCAACTTCTACCATTACATCAAGGCTCCTCCTTCAACAAGTGTCAATTACTAGTAGTAAGTTTAAAGAATGATGAACAAATCTAGAACTTTTTATGGACTTGCACATATATGATATTAAGAATAATTGTATGTTGGTTGCTATCATTAAAAGGTTGATCCAAATTAAAAGTGATATGCTAAGATTTTAAAGTTAAATGGGTCTATTAGATACCTTGTAAAGTATGGGATTTTATGTGTAGATACCCGGATATAGTTTCTAATTTGATGACAAGCTAAATTAGAAATACATAAACTTGTGCATCTATTAATAGGGTTATGGTCCCCAAATCAGACGAATGTTTTTTCTTTCTAACATCTCATCGCTGAAGAGTAGAACGGCTTACGTCTTGGTTTGGAAGACCGTACACCAAAAGATCTAGTAATCTCTGTGGCACTCATGGATTCAGGTACGCTTCCGCATTGTCGATGATTTGACATGATAGTTCTTGAGTAAAAAATGAACGATTTCATCTTTAAAGTAATTTGGTTCCAACAATTGATATGAGGAGTGTGATGACCCAAAATATTATTTTTAAATTTAATAAGTAATTCTGTATTCTAAGACCTCGAAGAACACCATTTATTATTTCTCGACTTACGTGCGCAGTCTATAAAATTTTTCGGAAAGTTTTCATGTGAAAAATGGATTAAAATGTGAAACAGAACCTTAAAACTCAATTGAGTTGACTTTGGTCAATATTTTAAGCAAACGGATCCGGATCAGTATTTTAACAGTTTCGGTAGTTTCGTATCGCGATTTGGGACTTGAGAGTATGCCCGAAAATTAATTTGGAGGTCCCTGGCTCAAGTTATGACCATTTAACGGAAACTAGTAATTTAAATGCTAAAGATTTCCAAGTTTGACCACGGGGTTGATTTTTTGATATCGGAGCCGGAATCTGATTCTGAAAATTTGAACAGCTCTGATATGTCATTTATGACTTGTGTGCCAAATTTGAAGTCATTCCGGTTTCATTTAATATGTTTTAGCACGAATTGCAAATTGAAAAGTTTAAAACTCAAAGTTCGAATTGGGGTGTGAATTGTAATTTCAGCGTTGTTTGACGTGATACGAGACCCCGAGTAAGTCCGTATTATGTTATTGGACTTGTTGGTATATTCGTATGGGGTCCCGAGTACCCCGGGAGTGATACAGATTGAAATCGGATCAAGAATTGGACTTAAGTAAAATCTGAAATTTTGCCTTCTGTTGTAATCGCACCTGCGAATTTTTGACCGCAGGTGCGAGCTCGCAGAAGCGAGCCTTCGATCGCAGATGTGCCCGGGCGTGGATGGGCAAAAGTCCGTAGGTGCGGAAATCGGCACGCACCCGCGCGTCCGCAGAAGCAGACAAAAGAATCGCAAAAGCGAAGGTAGCGCAGGTGCGCATTTTTCCTCCACAGATGCGAGGCCTCGCCTGGCAGTCCCATTTCGCAGATGCGAGCCCAGGCACCGCAGGTGCGGAAATGCCTGAGCAATGTATATATCCAAGAGTTCGATATTATTTTCACATTTTGGTTGTTTTGAGCTCGGTTAAGGCGAAGTTTTCGGCGATTTTTACGGAAAATATTGGGGTAAGTGTTCCTTATCCTATATTGATTATATTTCATGATTCCATACTTGTTTATATCATGAATCCGTGAATTAATGGAAGAAAAATCAGATTTTTCTAAAATCTTCCAAAAACGAGAAATTTAGATTTGAAGGTCCATTTGATATCGGAATTGGATAATTTTTATATGGTTAGACTCGTCTCGGAATGGGTGTTCGGATTTCATAAGTTTTTTCGGGATTTGAGACGTGGGTTCCACTGCCGAATATTTTAATAAATTTTGGTTTTTTATCCGGAAAATTTGTAAATTCATATGAAATTAATTCCTATGATTCGTATTGAGTATATCGAATTGTTTGTGAATAGATTTGAAGCTTTTGGAGACAAATTTAAAAGAAAAAGTTGTGGTCAAGTAATTGATTGAAATTTACAAAGCGAGGTAAGTGTCGTGGTTAACCTTGACTTGAGGGAATAGAACCCTTAAATTATTTGTTATGTGAATTGCATGTGAACGATGTATAGGCGAGGTGACGAGTGTCTATACGTCGTCAAATTAATTGTTTGCCTGCTTACTTGAAAAATCATAAATTATTTTAAATCATGAATTAATTATTATAATAATTATTTCTCTCCTATTCTTTGTCAAATATTAATTCTTGAATTCCTGCATTAATTGTTACATGCTATTTGAATTATGTGCCTCAATTGTTATTTGACATTTAGCATACTAAATATTAAACTGCATATTTTCTCTCTGATTTTCATAATAATTTGCTATTTGCCTTTGTTTGTTTCATAATTAAATTATAATTATTGTATGCTTGTTATCTTATAATTTTATATTAATTGTTGCATTTATTGGGGAAATTTCTTCTATAAGAATTGGTAAATGAATATGTTGGAGGAG